GCCAGGGGGACCTGCCGGAGCACATCCCAGATAACCATGGAGAAGCCTACTAGCAGGGTGACCAGCAACCCTGTCACCCACTGCTCCTTTACTTCCTGAGTCTTGAGCTTGTCCCCAGGCACCCTAGCTTTGCTCATGAAGGTGAGTGCATTGGTATGAGTGATGGAGTGGACAGTGGCAGCAGCCAACCAGGGCAGGCCAAAAGCACAAATGCCCCCATGGCCACCAATGAGCAGCAGGTCCAGGTGGAAGCTGGAGCCATTCTGCAGCATGTGCTTCTTATTGGGGATGATCAGCATGGTGATCTGTGTCTCCAAGAAGATGAGGATGAAGGCCAGGTTAGCAGGCAGTAGGCTGGCCACCATCATCCACACAGGGAAGGGGCTCTTCTCCAAAGGGTTGATGACCAAGCCCCACTTCTCTGGGGCCATCATTGAGACCACCGGGCATGCACAGCTTCTGGGTGAATGTGTCCTTGATACCGTAATCCATAAGCACCATAATGAGGATGGCAATGGGCACCCTGAAGTCTGTGATCACCCACTGGATCTGGCCAGGGAAGAACTGGCTATTCTTGAATTTGTGCAGGAAGAAGATGATGAAAAAGGTGCCAGCCATGAGCACCAGTGACAGCAGGGCTGTGTTGGGCTGGTCCCAGGGCCTCCTCTGCCCAGACTTCCTGGCTGTGCTGCTGTTGCCCGGCCCCAGCGTGGCTCCTGCCCCAGCTCGTGTCACATTCTTGCCACTGTCTGCCTCAAAGCTGTTGGTGACAGAATTGCTGTGGAGGGGATGCTTCTGGAAGATCTTAATCAACTTGTAGAAGGTCTCCTAGATGAAGATGAGCAAGATGAGGAAGGCAAAGATCTCCTGTGTAAAGTGGGAGATGGAGCGGACCAGAAAGCTCCCCTCCAGGGCCACTATAAGCAGGGCCAGGAGCAACAGCCAGAAGCCCATCCACACGCGGCCCACCAGTACTCCAGGTGGTTGCTGCTATAGAATGAGAAGAAGGCCTCCTCAAAGTCCAGCAGGGGCCTGGAGAAGCCAATCACCAGCAGCGGTGGAGCACCTAGCAGGCAGAAGAACATGCCTTGGAGCGAGGTGGACATGATCAATTCTGACACTGCTATCAGGTCCAGAGTCTTCTCTCCCAGCAGCCCACTGAAGGTGATGGCAGGAGACAGGGCGGCAAAGTAGATGAAGATGACAGCAGGCAGGCACTGGGGGTTGAGTGCGTCACGGAAGTCATTTAGGTAGTGGGGATAGCAGCGCAGCACTTCGTAGATCAGTCCCCAAAGGACTGGCCCATCCTCCGAAGGGGATCACCTTCAGCTGCACCTGCCACCTTTACATCTGCAGGAGTGCCTTATCATGGGCAGACTTGGGCTCCAGCCCAGCCCCTGTGGGCTCCAGCCAGCCATGTTCCTCTTGCTTCTTTAGCATGTGGCGCTGGAATTGGGTGACGGAATGCAGCAGCTCCTCACCCTGCACTTCCGAGGGCAGCAGCGTCACACTGCAGTCCAGGAAGGCGTTGATAGCGGTCAGCAAGTCGTTCTGCTCGTCTGTCAGGTAGGCTGCCTTGTGGAATTGTTTTTCAGACATGAGGGTAGAGAC